CCGAATTCTACCGAACTGATTTTAATAAAAATTACTCAAACAAATATTTTAGGTTTAAATTAAGTGATTATTTAGAAAATGAATTGAGTGCAGCAATAAAATTAACAAGCAATTGTGAAATTTTTTTCCCATCACTTCAACCAAAATATATTTCGTTCTCACTTTACGGAGAAAGCTTTAATGGTTAAAGTTTGCTATCAAATTTAACATTTATCTCCTTTAATTTGCTATCGCGAAATGAACAACTGAGAATTCTTTTATTGTCATTGGAATTAAAAAGAAAAATCCGATCTTGACAACTTATTGGCAGTGATTGAGAGCACTATTGACAAGTGTTGAAAGGAAGATGGTGGCAGTTTTGATCTTTGTGAGTTATAATGCCAAATTTTTTGGTTGATAGCCGTCATTACTGATAAAATGCGGTCGATACAATTCATTTAGATTACGGATTATTAATTCTATGATATGACAAACTAATTTGAACAGTTCAACCGAATTCAATTCAGTATTCCATAATTGAGTTAAAATAATTTGAATAATTGATACAAACATAAAATTAATTTTTATGCAACCAAGCACAATCAGTAGATTTCTCCGACTTTCTCCGTCTCTTTAATGGTCTTTTTTATCATTTATTGATTATCTATCATTTAAATCAATTTAAGTTAGAGAAAGTAGAGCATTAATATGAATATCAAAAAGTTATGCGAAATAAAATATAAATAATAATAATATATTGGCTGCATCTGTAATTGGGACACAGTTTTAAGCCATATTTTACTATGAAAACACATTGTTCAATAGGTATCGATTTTATGAATCATTGCATGAAATACATTTTGGAAGCATAAACATACAAGTATAATATCTCAAAAAAATTTTATTGTTTAATCAGAATATTTCAACCATTCAAGGAGTTGTTAGATGAAAATTAGTCAATTACTAATATATCCATTCATCTCATCTTTCTTTTTAATCTATAAATTATTAATTAATTTATGCATGCAAATTATGTTAGGGTTGCGAGAGGTTTCCGCGGCAAAAACTTCTGCATTTCGACATATTTTTTGAAATTTATTCAGTGCATCATGTATTTGGTAATTATGAAATACACTACCAAAAAAAAATTTTGTTTTAATTATTCAGAATTTTCTATTCTGTACAACGGTAAAAAATTAACCACGATAATAATAGTAGTAGTAGTACGGATAGCGACCATAGTAAGGATAGATCAATCTAGACGGACCAAATCTTCTGAATCCAAAGTTGAAAGGAAAAGGAGGAAATTGGGAGCCTCTACCAATCAAGCCGCCTGCAAGCAAACCCAAACCAAAGGGAAATGCAGGAGATAATAGGCCAAGAGGATTCAATGCTGGTTGAGCAGGCGCAGGAGCAGGAGCTACTGGTTGAGCAGGCGCAGGAGCAGGAGGTTGAGCAGCTGGTCTAGCGGCTGCAAAATTGTTCAACGACTGAAATTTAAAATAAGCTTTTATTAACTTCTACTATGTATGATAAGTGAAATTTATAAGAAACACATAAGGAAATGAAACCTATAAGAAGTATGAAACTCACATTGTCGCCTGCGATGTTATTGAATGATAAGAAGCTAAAAAAACGGCTCTGTGCATTTGTTTCAGAAACTGATAGTAATGTTCTGAAAAAATAGGAAAACATTAGCAGCTAAGTAAACAAAACAACTGGTAACGGTAAAAATATTTGCTTTTCATTTTAACTTACACTATTGTTAGAGGAATGAAATATTCAATGATAAGAAATGGCATCTTAATAAGTGATCCAAATTCCTGCAAATATGTTTGATAACGTGCAGTTGGCATTATTACAATATCGGCAAAACTGCTAGAAAAATATTCGCCTTATTCTAATTTAATGTTGCACATCAAATAATGCTCTCTTTATTCTTACTGAGAGAAATTCATTTAGGATTAAGCGTAAAGTAAATAAGAAACTCATCGCATACTGTCTTAATAAATTATCATAGAAGATTATATTTTTTAAATGTTTAATGAACAACATTAAATTCATTGAATGCTTAAATTTGTCATAAACAATCAGCTTGATTACCAGAAGTGTAATAAGCGATAAAATTCTGGATAAAGTCGCTCAGAAGTTACATAAGGTTAATCATTCATCTATCATTAATCCGCAATTGACAATCAAATTAATTACTAACAAGAACGGTTAAATTATGAAGAAAAATCTATTTTGTCAATTTTGCCGTTGGCTGAATTGGATGAGGGAGGCAATTAATTCATTTATGTATCATACAAAATAGGTAACACCACATTTCCTCGCCTCTTTACAAAAAGACAGGTTCTGAAGAAAAGTAAAATTTGTACTTTTGACATTTCAGTTATGATTCTTTTCAATTCAGTTATAATTCTTCAGTTAGTTCTACTTCAGAAATGATACTTTCAAGACAATAAGAAAATCGATTGCGAAACAATTGGAAGTGAAATGTATGAATAATTCTTTCAATATGTATTAATGATTTCAATTGTATGAAATGCACGATGATTAAAATATGACCAAGTAAGCAAAGGGAATTATTCCGATTATATTTTCCGGTAAACAAATAACCATCATGGTTGCATGAAAGGATATAATATCATGATTATCGGGACGGTTGTTATGCTAGTTGACTGTAGTACCCTTTGCTACAATATGCATAATCTCGCATTCATAACAAGTGTTGTTACTATGTTCTGTACTTTTCATTTCTTTCATTTTTCTCTTTATCTAATTGATTTTATCGAATAATCGATGAGAGCAGGAATAATTGATTTAGGCCTAATTATTGAATGAAGGATGGAGCCAGAAGAAATGCTCTTAGCTAGCGTATTTTGAGTGATGTTTTTGCGATCAAAGAATAATACTTATGTGATTGTTGAGCAAGAAAGAGAATAATGTTATCAATAGCTTAATCTAATCACCTCACTAATTTATTCATTTACTTACCCTTACCACTCCAACTAATTTATTAATTTGCTTACTAAGCTACTTATTTGTCTAAGTAATGAGATGATTTTGGAATTGAAGCAATTTTTTTTATATTTTATCACTTTTATTATTATTAATATTATTTAGTAATAATCACTTTAATCATTATTAGCAATAATAACATTATTATTAATAACACTATTAGTAATAATACATATTAATGATAATATATTATAATAATACATATTATTATTGATATTTTGCTAATAGTGATAATAATGATAATGATGATGATAATATTAGCAATTTCTAATCATGCTTAGTTTTAATTGAAGAATTTAGCTCGAAGCAATAATAATATTCGTAACAACAATAATAATAATAATAACAACAATGGCAATAATGATAATAATGATAATAATAATGATAAGAATGATAAAATAGAAAAGAATTGCATTAATTCCAAATTCTCGGAAAAAGTGGAAAACGAAAGAGAAAACAAAAATGAGAACAAATAAACAAACATGAAGAATTATTTCAGATAAACATTGAATTTTGTTATAAAATTATGACATGAAAGAGAGAAATGAGAAAGACAATGATAACAGATAGAATTAAAAGAGAAAATTGAAAAAAATAAAAAGAGATAAGAAATGATAATGATACAGAGAGGAAGAGGAAGAGGAAAATAAGAAGGAGGTGGAGGAGAAATGGTAAGAACAGGAAGAGGAGGAAGAAGAAAGCATGAAAAGAATTTTTTACTGCATAATAATAGACAGCAACATCAACAGCAGCTTGGAGTGTGTTGACAGTTTTAGCCTTTATGAGTTTTATTATCGAATTTATTGGTTAATAGTCATCATGAGTGATATTTGGCAAGAATGGAATTTGTTTTGATTTCTGTTTTCTGTATTAAGTTTAATTTTCAAGAGTTTGAATATGAAATTTTATTAACAGACAAAAACTTGAAGTTCTCAAGAGACGGAATGTTGTACTAAATTTCAAATTTTTTGTCTTTTTGAAAGACAGTAAATTTGAAATTTAGTGCAACATTCTAATCCATTAAGAATTCGCTGAAATTCGTGAATTTTAAATTTTAAATCCTTTTCTTGTAGCTATCGTATGAATGAAAATTATATAATTCATTAAGTGTGATAGATAATTAAGTGATTTATGCCTAATGTGCTAATTAAATCAAAAAAAAAACTTCAGAAGATATGATTATCGGAATGGTAAGCCATTAATTTATATTAGTCAAAGTCCACCACAGAATGCATCAATACAAACTGATTTTACATTTGGAAGCGTAAGCATACAAATATAACATTGAAAAAATTCTATCGTTTAATTAGAATATTTCAACTAATCAGGCAGTTAGCATAAGAATTAGTCAATTGCTAATATATTCATTTATTTTCTCTCTGATATAATCAATTATAATATATCCCTCATTTTTTTCGTTGTAATAGCTCATGCATTTCGCATATATTTGAAGTTTATTCGGTGCATCATGTATTTGATAACTGTAGAATACAACATCAGACAAAACTTCGCTTTAATTATTCAGAAATCTGCCCAACGGTACAAAGTTAACCACGATAATAATAATAGTAGTAGTAGTATGGATAACCACTATAGTAATAATGCGGTATATACGGACCATACGCTCCGTAACTGCCGTAGTAAGGATAATAAGGATATGGGGAGCCTCCACCATTCAAGTTGCTTGCAAGCAACAAAGCAAGTAAAGGAGATAATGAACCAAGAGGATTCGATGTTGTAATTTGTACTCGAGCAGCAGCAGCTCCCGGACCAGCTCGGTCTCTTATAGCATTACCTGCTCCCGGTACAAAATTGTTCATCGACTGGAATTTAAAATAGTTTTTTTTTTCCACGACTTAGCGTTCCTCAATGATTGAAATTTAAATTATTGTTGAATGACTGAAATTTAAAATGAGGTTTTATTAGAATGGTTAACAATTAATCTTATAATGATTATGCGTCAAATATTGTAGTTGTACTACAGTAAGAAAACTACAGTATGCGATACATTAAGCATTACCTTATCAGGTACGTGAAATTTATAAGAAATTTACAAGAAAATGAAACCAATAAGAAGTACGAAACTCACTTGGCGGCCTGCGATGTTGTTGAATGAACCTATATCAATCCGCCACTGTGCATTTGTTCCAGCAATTGATAGTAATATTCTGAAAAAGCAGAAGATATTAAAGATAAGTAAATTAAATAGCACAGATAAGTAAATTAAATAACTAGTATGATAATATCAAAAATATTTGTTCATCACTTTAACTTACACTATTGTTAGAATAATGAAATATTTAGTGATCAGGAATGGGAGCATAATGAACAATCCAAAATTCCTGCAAATATGTTTGATAATGTACAATTAATATTCCTACGTCCACAAAACTATTAGAAAATCGTTCGCTTTATTCTCACTGAGGAAAATTCATTTTGAATTAACGGTAAAGTTATCATCGCTGTCATAAAATTCAGGATAATGTTGATCAGAAGTTACCCAGAGTCTATCATTCATTCGCAATTGAGAATCGAATAAATTACTGGCAAGAACGGTTAATTACAAAGAGAAATCTATTTCATCGAATTCAAGCTGGCTGAATTGAACGGGGGAAGGCAATTAATTCATTCATGTAATAAACAAAATTGATGACATCATATTTCCTTTCCTATCGGGACGATTGTTAAGCTATTTGTCTCCATTACCGTTACCGTATGCATAACTTATATTTACTACAAGCATTGTTCCTATATTCTCTACGTCATCTCTTTCATTTTTCTCTTTAGCTTCAGAATTCAACTGACTAAAATACATTCAAAAATAATGATTTCAATTGTCAGGAAACCTTATCTCGTATTTGGAGACGAATTAAACGGATTCTTAAAATTATGAAGTCGAACTTTTGCATTTGGAAAAAAGATAAGTGGAACGGACGGATGGACGGACATAAACGGTCACAGAATATATGCAACTCAAATAATTATTTTGATGAATTGTATATCGCGGTAAATGTCCCACTAATTTAGCTTAAATTTTCCTAATGACAGCGCACATTTGATGTGAAAGACGAAATAAAGAGATGGAAGAGAATTGTTGCTTTGACTATTTTTTTTGAAAAAAATTCAACTATAATAAATTTATTCTTTTTCTCCCACGTCATCTGTACTTTTTCCTTGAATTGCGACTTTAAATAATGAATAAAATTTTGAAATGGTATGATACATTGGCCAATAATAATTGATAAGACTGTCTGTTAATTTAGGCCTGATTATTGCACAAAAGATGGGGCCAGAAGAAATGTGCTTGGTTGACGCATATTTTGTGATATTAAAGTAATCATAGATTAACACTTGTGTGAGCAAATGAGAGAATAATGTTTTCAATAGCTTTAATTGATTCTGATTCTCATTGTATGGTGTAAAAATGAAGATAGAGAGACAAACCATCGATTAATGATTTCTGCAATGCAATTATTTTACGTAATATTACAATTGGTTTCAACGTAAAAAAAATTGTGTACCTTTTACTTCGCCGACTATTCGTTTTTATCTTTAAGAACTTTCATTTACATTGAGATGGCCCTTCTTACCTTTCTTCAATTATAGCAATCGATTATCCGCAATAAAAATGTGCTAATCGTACACTTTTAGTTGTCATTTTAATCATCCCTCTTTCATTTAATCAAATTAATTTAATTACAGAAGGTGATATTTCACGGAATGAACATCAACAATTCGTGCAAATAAAATCGGGAAATGGCTGCACATAAGTACTTCATCAAGTGCAGGCCATGACCTCATATGTAATTGGTACGCAATTTCAAAGTCTTATTTTGTAATTTACATACTCTATCATACGGATTTGAATTTCATGGTACACTTCATTGGGTATATTCTGTAAATATAAGCTTCGATACAGGATACTTTACGAAAACTTCGACTTAGTTACATTCAACAAATAATCAGCATCAGAATTAATCAATTATTAATATCCATTCATTTTAAAGGAAGACTACCAGAAAAAGGATACCAGAAAAAGCGTCTTGGCAAAAAATTATGGAGAGTGATATTATGTTTTATGATAAAACAAATCAAATTCCTGAATCGGTCTGCAATAAACCTTGTAAAATTGGACAACGAGTGAGTTTAGTCGTATAATTTAATGTCCATATAATGAAGTTCTAAAAATTAACATGTAATATTTCTCACGTGTAATTATTTTTGGGAGATAAATTATGCAGTCTCGGGATACTGCAATTATTGATTACTTCAGTAACTGGAAATAATTATGAAAATAATTTTTCAATTTGATGATTTATAGCAAAGAGAAACAGCGGCTTGTTGTTGGATTTGTGAAGATTGTTTGGCACATTAAATTATAAACAATACATTACGTTTGTGTGAAAATTGTACACTTGGATGATGGCCTAATAAAGATCATACAAGTAAGCATACTTCCATGCAATCATCAAGCTTTTGTTTTTATTCTATTTAAATATTTCAAATGATATATATTAATGAAGTAATTTATATTATAGCTGTTATTACTGTAAGAGTTTTGTTTATCATTTATATATTTTTGAGAAGTATTCTACCAATATTGATTAATTAAGGTTTTTTTATTTTTTTCATGTAAACTTATATAAATGAATAATACTGAATTGAACTGAACTGATTCCGGAATCAATATTCAAATATGTTACAAATTGATACGAATATATTATATCAAACTGTATTAAATGGAACTAGAATAGTTTCAATGAGGTAAAACTGAAATACTATATATTACTGTATACTGAAATTGGTTTAAAACCACTTAATGGTGATTCGGAGCGAATTTAATCCAAACAGCTATGAAGTAAAAATGAAATATTTTTGGCATTCAAATATTAATTAATAATTCTGAAGTGCTATTGCAAAATGTTTTGTTAATTATGGAAGTGAAAAATTTATTGAACAAATCGCTGAATTTCATTCCCATTTCTTTAATCTATTATAATTACATAATTGTGGCTTACATAGAAATGAAGTTTGTTATAAAAATTTCGAAGTTCTTTCACAATTTATAGCAACGAATTAAAATAAATACACTATCCAAGGAGTGCAGACATTTATATATTTTGTATTCAATAATTTTCAGCTTGGAAGTTTCAAATTTAAAATAATTGACTTCTAAATTGAAAGAATAATCGAATCAAAGCAAGGATTGCTCAAAAGTTCATTTTCTCCGCGAAACGCTTTGAATGATTGGGAAGGGAAACATTCCTTCTGCTGAAATTGAGTATTTTCAAATTTAATAATAGATGAAATGCCTTTGAAAGGGAAAGTGTGAAGCAAGACGAGAGAATTCAGGAGAAATCGACGAGGTTGTGAATTTGACTTAAGAAGTTTGTTGTTTCGCAGACAGATGCCATTGGAGAGTTCTATTATTGGTGGTCTCACTCCATAAGTATGATGACAGTTTCAGCCTACATGAGTTTTAATGAACGACGTGAAATTCATTTAAGGCTTAAAATAGTTGGCTTGATCATCAAAAAAATTGTAAGCCACAAAACTCAAGATAAGATTGCTCAGAAATTACATAGAGTCTACTATTCATCTGCAATTAAGTACCATAATACCAGAAGAAAAGAAATCTTCACCGTCAATTTTATCGCTGGCTGAATTGGAAGAGGTGGACAATGCATTTATATAATGTACAAAATTGCAAATTATAAAAAAGTGATATTATAATATACATAATTGATATCAAGAAAAGCAAAATTCGTGCTTTGACGAATTCATTTATGATTAAACAATAGTTTCCCTAATCATTAATAGCTCGCAATTAAAGTGCTGGCCAATATCCTTATTAATTCAAAATTTTGATCATTAATTAAAGCAATTAAAGGAAAAAGTACAAATGACGGAGAAAGGAAAGAACAAATTTGTCACAATTGAATTTTATTCAAAAAAAGGTCATTAATTAAAGAAACAATGAATTTATCATAGTTAAACTTTTACACAAAAAAGGTCAATTATTTGAAAAACAGTTTCCTTCCATCTCTTCATTTTTCTTCAAGCGTGCGCTGTCATTGGAAAAACCTCATAATTTTAAGAATCCATTCAATTTGTTTTTAAGTACGAGTTAAGTTTCTCCCAGAATAGGAATGATGATTTTTAAATTATTCTCTGTTAAATTTTGAAACTTATTGACCTGAAATACTTTGCCCTCTGAAATACTGTTCCATCACCTATCCTTTGATAACTTTTCTCGTTTACAAAACCGTCAGTTGCTTAGGCCTGTTGAATATCTGAAACAAAGCAATTTTACATTTTCAATCCGTCTTCATATACCAATTCACTTAATTTTGAAAAAAGCGCAGAAGTTCAATTAGGTAGATAGAAGAGTGAAAAAAATAACGTGGATAATAGAGGAACAATACTTTCAATGAATTCGAGTTTATGCATTTTGTACAGTAGCACAAGATATTACATTCAATTAGCATAACAACTATAACGATAAGCATGTCATCATACTTGTTTCATGAAGCAGCGTGGATTGTTCGTTTTCGGGAAGATAATGGGAATAATTTGCTTAGCTAACTTGATCATATTTTTATCGTCGTGTATATTTATTCAATCAAAATCATCAGTATATATACTCGCAGAATAAATCAAATAGTTTCACTTCCAATTGTTCCATAATCGATTTTCTTGCTTCCTTGATAGGATTTCCGAAGTAGAACTAATATATCACAAGAATTTCATTTTTCTTTGGGACAAGTTTTTTTTTGCAAAAAGGCATGAAGTGTGATGTTAAGTTTGTGAATTACATAATCCGCGTAAAATGTGAATCATCAGTCAATAATTAAGTGGATCCATTATCTCAAATGAAAAGTAGACTACCTAAATTGACTCTCCTTGTCAATGTCATCTTTTGAAAAATGAAACATAGAGAAATCAAATTTCCGATTAAATTTACTGGTGATTCTCAAATATGATGCCCTCAGATTAGAATACAATGAATATTTATCTAGCAGTTTTACAAACTTTAACCTTATTATAATATCATCAATTGTATATTATTGGCCATATTTGCACGAATTTTGGACTGTATATTATGTGGCTATGCCTTTTCACTAAATATTTCATTGCACTAACCGTAATGTAAAATAAAGTGATGAAGAGCCGACTAATGTTTTTGTCCCCTTTCAGAACAATTCCATCAATTGCTGAACTAAATGCACAATTGACAGTTGTGAGCGTGAACTCGTTCAATAGAAACATTGCACATAGAAACATGAAGTTTCACAGTCCTTATGAGGTTGTGAATGATATGCTGCAGTATATAACATATTACGCACAATTCAAGTGTCATCTGATTTAATTGTTTACTTTCTCAATGAAAAGTTATTTCAAATTTCAGTTGTCGAACAATGATTTGAACGCAATGGTAAGACACAATGCTAATGATTGTAAGGGAAAGGCATTAAATCCATTTCAAACTCTACAAAATCCATTTGTTTCGCTTCCTGAACTTGCTGTTGGTGTCAAATATTCCATTCCAGACAATTTCTAGGCAGCGCATAGCAGTCATCTAAATTAAATCGAAAAAGCTGGATCACCAGATATTTCATTGCTCTAACAATAGCGTAAGTTAAAATGATAAAAAAGTATTTTTGATGTTATCACTTTAGTTATTTTGTTTATATTACCTGTTAATGTTTCTCTACTTTTTTTTTCTACGTTTTTCTACTCACTTTCATCAATTGCTGAAACAAATGCACATTGGGATTTTAATGTATTTTCTTACAACAATTAGGCAGGCGCCCGTGTGAGTTTCATGTCTATAGGTTTCATTTTCTTGTATATTTCGTATAAATTTCACTTGTCTTACACGGTAATGAATGCTTAATGTGTCGCATACTGTGGTACAACTACAATATTTGGCGCATTATCATTTTAAGATTGTTAACAACTTCAATAAAATCTTGTTTTAAATTTCAATCTTTGATGATGCAGCGCCACTTATTCCTCCTGATATACGAGCAGCTCCAGCAACAGCACCAGTTCCAACATCGAATTCTCTTGGTCCACTATATTCTGCACTTCTTTTGAGTTTCTTTGCAGGCAGATTGACTGGTGGAGGCTCCCCATATCCTCCATGAAAATGTAAAATGAAAATGCAGATTTCGGAAGTGTATCCCAATTATAGATGCAGCCAATATGCTTCAATTTGATGTTAAACTTTAGCCATTAAAACTTTCTCTTCATAGTAAGAACGAAATATTATTTGGTTAAAGTGATTGTAAGACAAATTTCACAATTGCTTGTTCATTTCATTGCTGCACTCAATTTATATTCTGAGAAAAACTTTAAGATTTCAAAGAAAACAGAAAAGATATCAAATTTATAATGATAGAGGAAGAAAGAGAAATGAAAGAAGATCATAATTAATCATATTGGTAGAATACCTCTCTAGAATGATAAGAAAAACTCTTACAGTGATAACAGCTAAAATCAGCGGTAATAAATTATATGGAAGAAATTATTGTTTAACAAATAAATAATGTTTATGGAATTATTTTTAAAATATAGATATATAATAAAAATCGTTTTCGAATTTTATTCTGTTTTACAATGTTTGAATTATCAAATAACTACAAAAAAACAAACTGAAAGAAAAATATTATCAAATCGATCGGTATGAATAAATTTGTTAAATCGTTAACTATTAGAAATACTGCCTAAGTAATAAAAGTAAGCCTAAATTATTTTGTCTGAAAATCAAATGTCTCATAATTCAAATTGATCTCAATTGGTTAAATTTTCAAACTAGAAGCTAATACAGAAAACTTTGATATTTCAAAAATAAAATTATTTGGAATTCAGGACTTAATTATGACCTTAGGGAAGACATTTTTTTGTTCATAGAATCACGCAGTAGTTGAAGTAAAAAAGTAAGAAAATGTTTTTACCGAGCGACACAGTCGTTCACTGTGTGACACTTAACGACAGGAAGACAAAATTTTTGATGATGAATTAGCTAAAACATGCAGGTAAAAGTATGGCGATAAAGTCCATGCAAACTTAAAACTTTGTTTTATGTAGAAATTATGAATTGAAACTAATTTATTAGTCATCAAAAACTAACAAATTAGTTTCAATTCCTAATTTCAATTCCTCATTACACTGCCAGCAACAATGGCACATTCGATACATGCAGCAATCCATATAATGATTACCTGAAACAATAACCTTATTACGTTATCCTTTATCCTTAACCATTAATTAGCAAATAATAAACTCACTCTTGTCCTGTTAGGTATTTAAAAATTTTCTTTTAAGTTTATGGCATAAATTAAAATATTTGAAGTTTTTTTCACTGCTCTTTATCACCGATTAAATTCATTATTATCAAATAATATATGTTAGAATTTGGAATAATTATTGGAAAGATAATTGCTTAGTTGTGATGTAATACTTAGGAAGCGTGGTTTTTTCATTAAGATACGTTTCTTACTGCCAGCTAAAATNGCAGTAAGAAACGTATCTTAATGAAAAAACCACGCTTCCTAAGTATTACATCACAACTAAGCAATTATCTTTCCAATAATTATTCCAAATTCTAACATATATTATTTGATAATAATGAATTTAATCGATGATAAAGAGCAGTGAAAAAAACTTCAAATATTTTAATTTATCCCATAAACATAAGAGAAAATTTTTAAATACCTAACAGGACAAGAGTGAGTTTATTATTTGCTAATTAATGGTTAAGGATAAAGGATACCGTAATAAGGTTATTGTTTCAGGTAATCATTATATGGATTGCTGCATGTATATTTTTGAAATTTATTCAGTGCATCATGTATTTGATATCTGTGGAACATAATACCAAACAAAACTTTAATTATTCAGAAATTTTTAATCTGCCCAACGATACAAAGTTAACCACGATAATAATAATAGTAGTAGTAGTATGGATAACCACTATAGTAATAATACGGTATATACGGACCATACGCTCCGTAACCGCCATAGTAAGGATAATAAGGATATGGGGAGCCTCCACCATTCAAGTTGCTTGCAAGCAACAAAGCAAGTAAAGGAGATAATGAGCCAAAAGGACTCGATGTTGTTGTAATTTGTACTTGACCAGCAGCAGCTCCCGGACCAGCTTGGTTTCTTATAGCATTACCTGCTCCCGGTACATTATTGTTCATCGACTGGAATTTAAAATAGTTTTTTTCCATGGTTTAATGTTCTTCAATGATTGAAATTTAAATTATTGTTGAAATGACTGAAATTTAAAATAAGCTTTTATAACAATGGTTAACAATTAATCTTAAAATGATTATGCGTCAAATATTGTAGTTGTACTATAATAAGAAAACTGCAGTATGCGATTCATTAAGCATTACCTTACAAGGTAAGTGAAATTTATAAGAAATTTACAAGAAAATGAAACCTCTAAGAAGTATAAAACTCACACCGGATCTTGCGAAGTTGTTAAATGAACCTATATCTAAAATATACTGTGCATTTGTTTCAGCAATTGATAGGAATGTTCTGAAAAAGTAGAAAAACATTAACAGATAAGTAAATAAAATCACAGAAGCCATAGCAGCAAAATTACTTGTTCATCATTTTAACTTACACTGTTGTTAGAGCAATGAAATATTTGGTGATATGAAATGGCAGCATAATAAGTAGTCCAAAATTCCTGCAAGTATGTTTGATAATGTTCAGTAGATATTATCGCAAAAAAGTCTACGTCCACAAAACTCAAAAAGTCTACGTCCACAAAAAAATTCTTTCAGAATTAACCGTAAAGTTAGCGAGAAACTTGTTCTCATCACATTTTGTCTTAATAAATTGTTATAGAAGATGATATTTCACAAGTGCTTAATGAACAACGTGAAATCCATTCGATGCTTAAATTTGTTAAAAGTAATTAGCTTGAATATCAGAAAAATGATAAGCCATAAAGTTCAAGGCAAAGTTTTACGGAAGTTGCATTAAGTCTCATTCATCTGCAATTGAGAGTCAAATTAATTGCTAACAAGAACGGCTAATTACAAAGAGGAATCAATTTCATCAGTTTTATATTGGCTGAATAGGATAAGGGGAGGCAATTAATTCATTTATGTATTATACAGAATTAATAACAACACATTTCCTCGTCTCTTTACAAAAAGATGGATTTTGAAGAAAAATAAAATTTGTGCTTTTGATAAATTCAGTTATGCTTCTCCAATTAGTTCTACTTCAGAAATGCTATCTTCCAAGGGAGCATGAAAATCGATTCAGAGCAATTGGAGGCGAAATTACTGCGTCGATGAAAAGTATGACCAAGTAAGCGAAGCAAATTATTCCGATCATATTTCTGGAAAACAAACTACTGTGGATGTATAAACGGGTTATTGGTACGATTATCAGGATGTTGCTAAACTAATTGACTGTAATATCCTCTGCTACCGTAAGCATAACCTCGTTCGTATTCACGATAAGTACTTTTTCCACCTTCATGAATGAAACAGGCATATCAACACACTTATTGTTACAAAAACAATAGTTAAGCCCTTGGCCGTAGTCTCATAGCACGCCACCGTATAGATTTCTTGACATCATGTGAAGAATTGCTCCTCTTTTATTCGTCACCATTTCTCTCTATTTCTTCCATTTCTCTTCTCTCTGTGTAATTAAATAGATTATGATAGCCGGAAAGATAGCGCTATCTTGTCTTCTATCCTTTATCATAATAATTAGTTAATTGATATTATTTCTTTTTGCTTATAAGACTTATTATAAGGGCTTTATCAAAGGTCTTCGATTATTTGTCTTATGATAACATTAAGTAATGCCTGAATAGAGTGGCTTGTTTCTGCTAACATTCTGCTAACATGTTTCTGCTAACATTCAAGGAACTGCGATATTTAAAAATGCTTGTATCAAATGTCTGTCTGATTGGTAAGTGATTACACTCTACCTAAACAAGATTAGAAGTCGCTCTTACAGGCTTGTTTTTTAAAAATATTGATAGGCGATAAAATTCAGGACGAGGTTGCTTAGAAATTAAACAGAGTCTACCATTCACCCGCAATTAAGTACTGACAAAAATAGTTAATTATTAAGAGAAATCTATTTCACCAATATTTTTCGCCATCTGACTGAATTGGAAGAGAGGAGGAATTCATTTATATAATGTACGAAATTGCATAATGTAAAAAATTAAAATTGTAGTGTAAAAAATTTATTACATTGCATTTCTTTTTCTTTTTACAAAAAACAGGTTCCGGGGAAAAGTTAAATTTGTGCTTCTGACGAATTCAGTTATGATTCTCTCTTATTAGTTCTACTTCGGAAATGATACTTTCAAGAGAACAAGAACATTGATTACAGGACGATTGGAAGTGAATTTACTGCTTGACCAATTTTGATTGCATGAAAGATAAAAATATGCACGAAGATAAAAATATGACCAAGTAAGAAAACAAATTATCCCGATTTTGTTTCCGGAAAACAAACTGCTCTGGATGTATGGCACGCTCAACTGGACGATTGTTAAGCTAGTCAACTGTAATATCTTTTGCTACCGTAAGTACAACTTCGTATTCACGGCAAACATTCAAAATTCAATTGATAAGATGAACATTCAAAAATTACTATTTCCATTCTTGTCTCGTATTTGGAGACAAATTAGAGACAAATTCGGAGACATTTTTTTTGGAGACAAATTCGTATTTGGAGACAAATCTTAAAATCAGGAAGTCGAACTTCTGCATTTCGGAAAAAATTCGGTAGAACGGACGAATGGATCTACGATTCATTGCTTATTTTCGTTCGTAGAAAACGAAATTTTGTGTGATTTTCGGGAATCTTAAATCAGCAAAGTGCTGCAAAAGTATTTGAAGAAATTTTGTATCAGTTTACAATCAGATAGCCATTTAAAAAATCACAATTCCTAAATATTGACAGAAGCAACCATTGTTTCATATATTTCTTAACGTTACCACAAAATGGATAATCGTAGACCTTTCAGATGGAAATATTATATTAGAAATAATATCAATTAACTAATTATTACATAAAGAAGAGAAGAAAGCGTATATCATCCCGTCCGCTCTAACCTATTTAACTTATTTGACTGCACAGAGAGAAATAAAGGAAATAGAAATATAATACCGTAAAAAAGAGGAACAATCCTTGATGTTATATATACGGTAGTACGCTAATTGGCTCAACTGTTGTATTAATAACAGTGTTGTCGCACCTGATTCATTCATGGATGATGGAACGTTTGTTTTCCTGAAAAATAATCGAAGTATTTTTGTTCTGCTTGCTTGGTTATCTCAGCTGCATTTTTGTCATTTAAATATTTCGTACATCAAAATCAGTCATACGCATTCACAATCTTATTCATACAATCATTCTCATATCTTATTTCTATTCAGTAATTTATGAAATAAAAAAAAATAAAGAAAAAATGAGTGGATATATTAGTAATTGATTAATACTGATCCTAATTATTTGTTGAAGGTAGGTAACTAAGTCAAAGTTTTCCCAAAACATTTATATTCAAGTTTATATTTCCAGGATGTACTCAATGAAGTGTACAATGAAATCTATATCCAGTTGTATGCAAATAACAAAATAAGATTTCGAAATTGTGCACCAATTACATGTGGCGCCATAATTGGTACTTCATGAATTACTTCCTTACATGCAGTCATTTCCGGATTTTATTTGCACGAATTGATAACGTTATTCTCTCAATTCCTTAACAATTACAAATGTTAATCTTTGATCACTGAAACATTTCAAAAAGTACGCTAACCAATAGCATTTCTTCTGGCTTCATTCATCATTCAATAATCAGGCCAAAATCAACAAACAGTCGTCTCAATTGTTAAAACTTCATAGCCAAAGTATTATACCTGTTTCATACATCCACGATGGATTATTTGTTTTCCGGAAATACAATCGGAATAATTTGTTTTGCCTACTCATCATATTTTTATCTTCGTGCATTTCATGCAATCTAAATTATCAATATATACTCATCGTAATTTCACTTCCAATCGTTTCGTATTCAATTTTCTTGTTGCCTTGAAAGTATCATTTCCGAAATAGAACTGATAAGTGAGAATAACAACTGAATTCGTCAAAGGCACAAATTTCACTGTCCATCAGAACCTGTCTTTTTGTAAAACGAAAAGGAAATGCGATGTTATCAATTTTGTACATTACAGCTTTCACTTTCTTACATTATGCAAATTTGTAGATTATATGAACGAATTGCCCGTCCTCCAATTCAGCCAGAGATAAAATTTGCGAAGCACTTTACTCTTCATAATTAACTGTTTATGTTGATACTTAGTTGCGGGTGAATGATAGACTCTATGTAAATCCACTTTCTCTAATCCAATTGATTTGATTAGTGTTATAATCAATAGATGGAAAAAGGAAGATTAAAATGACAATTAAACGATTAGCAGATTTTTACTGCAGATAATCGATTGCTATAATTGAAGAAAAGTGGGAAGGGCCATTGTAAGGTAAATGAAAGTTCTTAAAGTGAAAAAACGAATAGTCGGCAAAGTAAAAGGTGCACAACTTTTTTTACATTGACACCATTTGTAATATTACGTACAAATAATTGTATTGCAAAATCAATTGCAAAATGGTTTCCTATCTTCGTTTTTCTACCGCATAATGAGAATCAGAATCAATTAATGTTATTGATAACATTGCTCTCTTGTTTACCAAACAATCACAACAAGTGTTAATCTTAGATTATTTAAACATCACCCAAAGTACACTAACCAAGAGCATTACTAACAATTGCTGAAACAAATGAACAAATTTTCTTTGAATTTCTTCAGTCGTTCATTGATAAAACAAACAACAATGTATGTGTTATACTTTGTTTAATGTTATGCTTAATATATCACGAAAATTTCATTAACCTTTGTGATCAGTTGTTTTCTTGCAAAAAGGCATGAAGTGTGATATTAAGTTTGCGAATTACATAATCCATGTAAGATGTGTAGTATTAGAATCATCAGTTAGTAATTAAGTGGATACATTTCCTTAAATGAAAAGTAGACTACCTAATTGACTCTCCTTGTCAATGTCATCTTTTGAAAAATGAAACATAGGGAAATCAAATTTCCAGTCAATTTTATTGGTGATTCTCAAATATGATGCCCTCAGTCAGAAT